TTGATGTATTATAAAAAAAACTGTTTCAGCTAAGGCAACTTTAACCTTCTGGAAATCCGTCCCCTGACGCCCCTCGCTGGGACGCCCTGGATGGCTGAGCGGCGTCAGATGGCTCCCTACCTCGTCAGAAACCGGGTGACCTTTTTTTTTGGGGGGGGTAACTACAGCGCAGTCACGAAAGCAGTTTGGTAATTGCATTTGAAACTGCGTTTTAGCAGTTTAGTCAGGGCCCGAGTTTCAATTGCAGTTGAAACTCGGGCTGCGCAGTTCAGTCAGGGCCCTCGTCTATCCAGGAACAGCAGATTTAAAAAAAAAAAAAAAAAACATCCCTTATGCTGTGATTGCGGTCCTATACAGGATGCTACAGTGTTTGTCTGGAACTGAATGAAGTGAGGCAGTTAGCTGCCTTGCATGGAATCCGCCCTGCCTGGCTGGCAGGGCGCTACAAGGACCTCACACAAGAAACAAAAAAAGGAAAACGACCTGTTTCATGTTCTTCACTTCCTGGCCAGATACATTCCTCAAAGCACTGGTGAGGTGAGGGCCTTCCCGACCCGACGTAGGTGGATTCGAAGTTCCTCGTTTCTTTACTTTTTTATTTCTTCTTTTCCTTTTTTCTGTTTTTGGCCTCCATCCCTGCCCCGAGCCCCCCACTTCTTCGGAGTAGGCTACTCTTGAGACTTCACGTTTGCCTGTGAAGGGTAGTACCTACGAATCTCGGCTGAGGCCGAGACATCTCGGCCGTGGCCAGTCTGGGGTGTGGCTGAGACATCTCGGCGGGGCTGTTTTTTTTCTTTTTTTTTTCCAGCCGCGGAGCAGCAAGGCGCGTTATGGCACGCAACCAAAAAAAAAAAAAACCGAAGAAAGAAAGAAACGGCCATGTGCCTGACTGAACTGCTAGAAAAGTCCAGCCCGAGTTTCAAACTGCTAAAATGCAGTTTCAAATGCAATTGAAACTCGGGCCCTGACTAACATGTAGGGTCGTTGCCGGTCGCTCGGCTATGGTCGTCATGATATGGGCACGATGCTGCCTAGTTCAGAGCTGAGCTACTCAGGCTGGTGTTTCTTGATATTTCAATTATAGCCTGCCTCACATTCGGGAGATGTCGATGTGTCATATTTCTCTTCTTTCCCTTCTCCTTCTCCTCCTTTCCTCTCTTCTCTTCTTCCCTCCCTTTTCCCTCTATCTCTCGTCAGTTTTCTGTCTTGACTTGTTGACATCTTGGGTTGCATGCTTGACTTGTTGCTGATGATAGACCTTCGGGTCGGCACCGATTGCTTGTTGATTGAATGCCTTGACAAATACTGATGCTGTGTGAATAATTCACCTGACTAAACTGCTACAACGCAGTTCCAAATGCAATTACAAACTGTAACCCTGACTGCACCGTAGTTTTCTCGTTTTTTTTTTTGTTTTTTTTTTGTTGAAACTGATCAGAA